TGTGGTCTGCCGTGCTCATTTGGGATTTGCCGTGCTCATGTGGGGTCTGCCGTACTCCTGTGTGGTCTGCCGTGCTCCGGTGGTCTGCCGTGCTCCTTTGGGGTCTGCCTTGCTACTGGGGGTCTGCCGTGCTCCTGTGTGGGTGCTCTGTGGTTGCCGTGCTCCTGTGGGGTCTGCCGTGCTCCTGTGGGGTCTGCCGTGCTCTTGTGGGGTCTGCCGTGCTCTTGTGTGGTCTGCCGTGCTCCTTTGTGGTCTGCCGTGCTCCTGTGTGGTCTGCCGTGCTCCTGTGTGGCCTGCCGTGCTCTTGTGTGGTCTGCCGTGCTCCTGTTGGTCTGCCGTGCTCTTCTGTGGTCTGCCGTGCTCCTATGGGGTCTGCCGTTGTTCGGCCGTCTTGAGGGCACTCTTAGGGCATAGTCTGCCGTGCTCCTCGTCTTGGTCTGCCGTGCTCCTCGTCTTGGTCATCCTTTCCGTCGTCTTGAGGGCGCTCTTGGTGCCTGGTCTGCCGTGCTCCTCGTCTTGGTCTGCCGTGCTCCTCTCGGTTCCTAAGCCTGGTCTGCCGTGCTCCTCGTCTTGGTCTGCCGTGCTCCTCTCGGTTCCTACGCGCGGTCTGCCGTGCTCCTGTGGGGAGCACGGCAGACCACAGGAGCAAGGCAGACCACACAGGAGCACGGCAGACCACACCTCGATTTTTTGAGGATGTCTCGAGCGAAATGGCCGTGGTCTGCCGTGCTCCACACGGGAGCACGGCAGACCACCTGCTCATTTTCTGAGGACGTCCCGAACGAAAACGTCATTTTTGACATAAGAGGTTCTAAAACACCTCTGTCGGCATCTCATTTTTTCGAGGATGTCTCGAGCGAAACGCTCATTTTTCATGCATAACAAAAATTTTTGATATTTTTCAACATCCCGATTTTTTGAGGATGTCTCGAGCGAAACCGTCATTTTTGACATAAGACGTCTTAAACGATAGCCTCCAACACCTCGATTTTTCGAGGATGTCTCGAGCGAAATGGCCATTTTGGGGAATCCGCCCCCCGTGCAACGAACCCATAGATATAAAGATATATATATACCCCCGTAGCCCCGCAACCCATAGATATAAAGATATATATATATATATATATTTACTCAAGGATTCAGCCAGAACGTCCCGCTTGCTTCTCGTACCTCGAAGACGCTTCCCGTCATTCCCCCGTGCGATGGCGCAACCCATAGATATAAAGATATATATATATATATATTTACTCAAGGATTCAGCCAGAACGTCCCGCTTGCTTCTCGTACCTCGAAGACGCTTCCCGTCATCCGCCAACGAAAACCCCGTGCGATCCCGCAACCCATAGATATAAAGATATATATATATATATATATATACTCAAGGATTCAGCCAGAACGTCCCGCTTGCTTCTCGTACCTCGAAGACGCTTCCCGTCATCCGCCAACGAAAAATCCCGTGCAATCCCGCAACCCATAGATATAAAGATATATGTATATATTTACTCAAGGATTCAGCCAGAACGTCCCGCTTGCTTCTCGTACCTCGAAGACGCTTCCCGTCATCCGCCAACGCAACCCATAGATATAAAGATATATATATATATATATATATACTCAAGGATTCAGCCAGAACGTCCCGCTTGCTTCTCGTACCTCGAAGACGCTTCCCGTCATCCGATAGCCAACGATTTTTCGAGGATGTCTCGAGCGAAATGGCCCCGCCAACGAATGCCCGTGCGCGCGGCAACCCATAGATATAAAGATATATATATATATATATATATATATATTATACTCAAGGATTCAGCCAGAACGTCCCGCTTGCTTCTCGTACCTCGAAGACGCTTCCCGTCATCCGCCAGCGAGTTGCCGGGTGCAATCCGTGCCCCACAAAAAGTTGTTCCCACCAATAAACGGTCCACGCCGAAGGCGCTTCCCGTCATTCTTTGAGAAAAACGGTCCACGCTCCTCGTTCCTCGTACGCGCTTCCCGTCATCCGCCAGCGAGGTGCCCCATGGGATCCGTAGCCCTTAGTTAGAAAAAATAAAGCCCCAGAACCAACGGTGCACGCCGGAGGCGCTTCCCGTCATCCGCCAGCGTAGTTTCAAAGTGCAGCGCGTACCCGAGTATTAATTTTTACCACCGACAAACGGTCCACGCCAGGGGCGCTTCCCGTCATCCGCGACCGTGCCTACAGCACGCAGTGGAAGGCTCATGCAGCCCTGAGAAGTTCAGAGGTGTAAGGTTCGAACAAGTTTCAAGGGCCTGTGCCACCGGTTTCACAAGGACTTCCGAAGACTTCTGGAAATTCCTATGGATTTCTGGGCATGTCCAAGGATTCCCCAGGCGTGTCGCGCGCGTCCTCCGGTAGCGCAGCCGACCAAACATGGGCCAGAAAAAGACCCCAAGAGGGCCGAAGGTGCCCCCGAGAAGACCCAAGAGTGCCCCAATACGCCCAAGATGGCTTCAACACGGCCCAAGAGGCCCCGAAGACATCCAAAGAGTGTTCCAAGAGGTGTCCCAAGAGGGCCCCAAGAGGCAAACATCATCGATGTCCCTTGGTTTTTGTTTTTGTTTGGTTTTGGGCCCTCTCGCCTTTTCGGGTTCCGTCGCTCCAAGACAGCCCAGGAGGCCCCAAAGTTCGCCCCAAGACGGCCCCAGATGCCCTCAGGAGGGCCCGGAGACGGCACGAGGGGGCCCCAAGAAGGCCCAAGAGGCGCCCAAGACGGCCCAAGGGGACCCAAAGACATCCCCACGAGGGGGCCCAGGTGGGGAATCCGAACGGACCTTTCGAGCCATCGTCCCCGAGGGCCCCCCAAGGAGGCCCGCAAGAGGCCCCCAAGAGGCCCCAAGAAACTCCCAAAGAGGTTCCCAAGAGACCACCCCTCCTCCTCCTCCTCCTCCTCCTCCTCCTCCCCCTCCTCCTCCTCCTCCTCCTCCTCCTCCTTCTCCTCCTCCTCCTCCTCCTCCTCCTCCGCCTCCTCCTCCTCCTCCTCCTCCTCCGCCTCCTCGAGGCCTCCAAGACGCCCAAGACTCCTCCTCCTCATCTCCTCCTCCTTATGTACCTCCTCCTTCTCCTCCTCCTTCTTCCTCCTCCTCCTCCTCCTCCTCGTCCTCCTCCTCCTCCTGATCTTCCCCGCCATCTTCCCCGCCGTCTTCCCAGAAGTGTTCCCCGAAGGGTTTCCACAACGGTGGGGGGAACACATGGTCCGACAGCTTGGCAGAGCTCTTGCCACAACGCTCGGACACATGAGCGCTTTCAAACCTCTTGCTCCCCCACGCGTTCCCCGAAGGCTCTCCAAACCGACTCGGGGAACAACTGGCCCGCTAGCTTGGCCAGGCTCTAGCCCAGCTGTCAGCCACATAGGCGCTTCCACAACGGCAGGGGGCGGCGGTGACTCGCCGTGGGCGTCTTCGATATTTATCACGGGGGTGCCTGGCGTGCTGGACACTCCCTCTGAGGCTTCGGCCCAGCGCGCCGGCCACCCGAAAGGCCCCGCTGCTGCACAAATGACATCTCCAAGATGGCTTACATGACCTCCAAGATGACCAAGATGGTCCCCAAGAATGCCCAAGCGAGTCCGAGATGCCTCAAAGTCCGCGCAACAGGCCACCAAGATGGCCCAAAATGGCTCAAAGATGTCCAACAAGGTCCGCAAGAGGCCCCCAAGAGGCGAGGCGGCCCAAGAAGCCCCCAAGAGGCCCCCAGGAAGGCCCGAAGAGGCCCAAATCATTCATGCTCCTTGAGTTTTTGGAGCGAGTTTAACATTTGCTTCTTTTCGGCCTTCCGACGGCCCGAGACGGCCCAAGAGCCCCCAGAGATCGCCAGAGAGGCCTCCGAGACCCAAGAGGCCCCCGAGAGGGCCCCCAGACGGCCCGAGAGGCCTTCAAGACGCCAAAGATGGACTCCAAGACGGCCCTGGAGCGCCCCAAGAGGGCCCCAAGTCGGCCCAGAAAGGCTCCCAAAACGGCTTCCGACGGCGTCAGACAGGCCAGGAACGTCCTAAGACTGGCAAAAGAGTCCCCCAAGAAGCCCCCAAGAGGCCAAAGGAGGCCCCCAAGATGCCTCCAAGAGACTCCCAGGAAGCTCCCAGGAGGCCCCAAGAGTAGGCTTCCAAGATACCCCCTCCTCCTCTTCCTTCTGAGCTTCCCCGCCATCCTCCCCCCAAGTGTTCCCCGAAGAGTTTCCAGAACGGCTGGGGGAGTCTATGGTCCGCCAGCTTGGCAGACTTCTTGCCACAACGCTCGGCCACATGGGCGATTTCAAAAGGCAGGGGGCGGCGGTGATTCGCCGCAGTCGTTTTCGACACTGTCCGCGAGACTTGTGGATGCCACGACAATGGATACCCTAACAGCCCTGTCATCGAAGTAAAGATGTGTTCAAAATGTCAGAATATGTCCTGGAAATGTTTCAAACATGTGTTTGTTTGTGTGTGTGTGTGTGTGTGTTTTTAGTATCTAGTTCTTGTAAATAACAAAAATAAGCAGGTTTAACACATGTTCTAGACATCTGGCAAGTATTGGGCAACATGCTTCCTCTCCATTGATCGCCCTCCACAACGAGAGACCCTCTTGAGGGTCCCAAGAGGAGCCACTCAAGAGGGGGAGCTCGAAGGGGCCTCGGGAGCCCTCCCCCGCAAGACGGCTCCCAAGGCCCCCACCGTGACCCCAAGCGAGCCCAAAGAGGCGCCAAAGAGGCCTCCATGGAACGCAACAAGACATATACAATAAGACTTCTCGGTGCGCGCGTCGCCCCTGGGGGGGCGACGCACGACGCCGACTCCAGAGACAGACATGAGGCATCCAGGAAGGCCAACAAGGCCCTTTTGTAAAACCGCGTTGAAGTCCCCATGTGAACGCACGCCGTGCGTCCCAGTAGAAGCGTCTTGGCGCCGTACGTCGCGCGGCGCCGACACGCCTCTACGTCAACGCCCCCCCCGGAATATATGCATCCAGGGCTCCGAGGGGACCGCGGTGCGGCGAAAACCAATGAATCAGGCAACTCATCCCTGTAAGCCCGCACCGACCACACTCCAACAAAGGCATGGAACTCATGCAGTAGGGGCCCAACCACAAGAAGCCTTCCACAAGAAACCAGCCCCTGAGTGACCCCGGAACGTCCATGGATTTTTGGGATGGCAGCGTCACGCCTTCCATGGCAACACCATCGAACCCCCCGAAAAACCCAGGGCACCCTGGAGACAAACAAGGTGCTTCTTGGCATGGGCCTCCACTGTATGACGCCCAGCGTCGGCAAAGCGCAACCGACAGCATGCGAACGATGTGCCCCGGCCACCGCTGCCGCGCTAGGCCGCGTTTGGTGTGCTCTTGCCGGTGCCGCGTGCCGCTTTCAGCCTGCTCAGCTCCGCAAGCACCTTCTTTGCCTGGAGGGGACGCAGGCCCAGCTCCCTCTCCAGGTCCCTCTGCCCCAGCCCGTCCAGCATCCGGCCGTCGACCTGGGGAGTCACGCTACGTACAGGTGGGGGGGGGCTGGCCTACAGAGGGGGCGATGGGCACCCCGACCCTGGAGTCGGCGACGTCGTCGAGAGGTCGGCGACGAGCCCCCGACCGCGGAGCCGCTCGCTCCCGGGCGGCGCTGGGCCATCGGGCCCCCCCCCGCGGCGAAGAAGGGGGCAGTGGTCGGTCGAGGCGGCCCGCCCCCGAGCCTGCCACCCCCCCCCCTCCCCTGGCGTTGCCGCTGACGACCGCGTTCTCTCGGAAGTGGTGGAGGCAGTGGCCGAGCCCCAGGCCGGAGATGAACACGGCGACCTGCCGCACGGTCCACTCCTCCACGGGGGCCTGCGGCACCTCGCGCTCGGGCGCGGCGACGGCCCTCGTGGGCGACGGGCCGCCGAAGAGGTATCCCCTCTTGCTGAGACCTCCCCCCGTGTCGAGCAGTTTGCCCCAGACGCCGCTGCGCTCATTGTTGGCCCCTTCTTCCCGGTCAAGGTCCTCTCTCTCCTCCCTCCCAAAAGGGTCCATGTTTTCCAAGTCTTGCGCCAGCACGTTCCGCCAGTGTACCCTCTTCTGGGGCTTCTTGAACCACGTGTACAGCAGAGCGACGGTCCATGCTAGAAGAATGCAGAGGCCTGTGATATTTTCCACGACATCAAGAATCCATTTCTTCCATTCACTCTCCCCCGCGAATCTCCAAGGGTACAACGATGCGACGGAGCAGACGAATATAGTCACAACCCCACCAAGCAAGAAATAATCAGCATAAGTCAAATATGGCACGCATGGGAGGTGGTCTGACACCCCGTACTTAAAAGCCACAAGTGTGAGCATCCCTGCGCTGTACAGACCGATGCGTTCCGCCAAGGTGTCGGGATTGGGGGGCATGCTCAGCGGCGAGACAGACAATAAAACGATCAAATATGAAACAAGAAAAACCTGCCACAAATAGAAATGATGCTTGCGTTGAAGCCGGAGGTGAACCGTGAACTTCGACGCGTACGTCGGCGCGCGTTGGTTACCAGCTCTGCCACCGTCCACCAGGGTCTCGTTAAGCTGCCGGATGTAAGGGGGAAATGCCTGCCACTCAGGAAGCATCGACGAAGTGCGCACTTCGAAAGACACGAGCCTCATGGCCTTGAAATAATCGTCGTCGTCCTTGTGAGTTCGCCAGACAAACTCCATCCTTTCCAGCTGCAGGGTATGTCTGTCGTATGGGAAATCCGCCATGTTGAACGATTTAAACCCATCAAGCGACATTAAAGTGATGCCTCTCCAGCACAATGTCTTGCTCGTTGTGGCTGCCGAGGAGTAGTCGCACGACATGTCCTTCCATATCCTGCTCTCCTCAACTGTCACGACGAGGCCTGGCATTCGAACTCCAGGAACACCTCGCAGAGCAATCTCGGCCTCCTCCCTCGAATTGAGAGTGCGGAAGACCCACATGCACTTCATCCTGAGGGTGAACAATAGGGCGGACCTGCTCACGGGGGACAGTAGACCTGGAATCGGTCATCCTTCGCCGATTGATAAGCGGTAGCCCCGCGAAAACGAAACCACATGTTCCTGGTGTCGGGCCCGCATCGGCGACGAATAGGCGATTGGCGGTCGATGCATCTTTAAGCCAGAGTAGTGGGTCTGGCGCAGATGGGTCAGCGGGCAGAAGTGCAAAAAGACTTGGCTCAACAGATGGCGCCTGGATGCACCTGTCCAGCCCTTTCGCACGCAACAGTTGGCAGGTTCCGGAAACCCCTGACCCCAAAATGTGGTCATCCCTTGGGAGGTCGACTCTTGCTTCCGCTTGCTTCCGCCGAGCTTCCGCCAGCTTCCGCCGGCGGAGCCGCCGCCGATCTACTTACGCCGCCTTCCGCCGGCCATCCGCCTTCCGCCGAGGCAGAGATGGCGACCCTCCCTAATTTTGAAGGCGAGGCCCTTCTTGGAACCCTCCCACTGTCCCCCGTGCAAAGCTTCGCGCCCCCCCCCGGGGTAACAGCCGCGCACTAACTTTAAGTCGGGGCCTGTCCCTCTACAGGAGGACTCTACAGAAATAGTAAACAAAAAATAACCTGGGGACGATTTCTGGACTATGTTTGGCCATGCTTGAATATGTTTTGACTTGTTGGAAGATCTCCGCACGAAACCCGCCTGTAGGGGGATATGCCCGGCCTGATGCTGACTGCACGCGCGAGAGTGCCCAGAAGCCGTGTGCGCGATGGCGCCTCTCGCGCCGCCGACCCCTTCGGAGGCAGGCATCGGGCGCGATGGCGGCGGGGCTCCGCGCTCGAGCAGGGGATCGACTGCAGACTTGACTTGCAGATTCCCGTCGAGCCTACGGGAATCTGATACGGTGGGGACATTGGACACGGAACCCTTAGATAAGGAATCCAGGATCTGGAGGCCGGTGGAGTTCCAAGCGTGGACCAGCCCTGGGTATCACCGCCGCCCTCATCAGTTAAGGAATCCTCCAGGGTCTGCGGCCTCCTGGGCGCATTCCTCAACGAACGCTCCCACCGTGTTGGCACGAACCCCGACCTTGGAGGACAAAGGGGCGTGACTTGCGAAGAAGAGAAAGCCAAAGAAGAGGACGCCAGTAGAGCGCATCATGCTGATTCTCGTGCTCCTTTTGACGCTGTGCCGCTTTGAGGCGCATGATGTTGGTTCCCGTGTTGACCGATTAGTTTACACATTCCCGTCGAGTCTACACGAAAAAACGTAGAATGTTCGCTGATGCACGGGTACTGTTGCTTTTTTCAATGGGCTCGACCGAACCATGGCCTTTGGGGAATGCAACTTTGCAATCGATCCCCTGTTCGAAATGTGGCCGGCCCGGTGGACGCCACCACAATCAAGGAAGTCGCCGCCGACCCATCGGCACCACACCCACTGCTCCAGCTCCCCTGAGATCCTGGCGACGATTATTTCGAGCCGGGCGCTTTCGCTTCTTCTCCGGCCCTGGGACCCTCACAATTCGACCCGCCTCTAAAGATGGCGCAGAAAGATGGTGTCCAGGGTTCCGGGCGTGATGGTTTAGGATGTCGCAATGTTTCGCTACGTCGGATCTCAAGGTTCGACCAATTCCTCCCAAACTGATCCCCCCCCTCACGCTGCCCCTCACGTCCGCAATCGGTACGTGCCCTTCTTGGGGTCCAGGTCCACCACGCGCACGAAAGCCCGGCACTTCGCCAGCTCGAGCAGCGTCGCGTCCTCGGAGTCCCAGAGGTCCTGGGGCTGTGGCAGCTCGGACACACTGAAGGGTTGAAGAAGTCGGGACGGAGATCGACATGCATCGGATCGGCGGACACCCACAGGCATGTACGTCGGATCGACAACAATCGGCAGGCTGGTAAAGCCTCCTTGGAGACCAAAGCCCACATCGGAATCCGAAGTGGACCCAACTCGAAATCGGCATCGAACTTGATCGCATCGAACCGGATGGGGGGGAGTCGAAATGAGCCCTGCTGAAGGAAGGGCTGGGCGGGGGGCCCAACAACGAGGGGCAACGCTTTTCAGGCCCAGTACTGACATGAGGGGCTCCCCCCTCTTTCCTGACGGGGGCCTTGACATCCTGGTGTCGTGTTTTGTTCGCGCCGGGCGACTTCGCTTTGTTTCGGACGGAAGAGGGGCCCTCGCAGGTCGATCTGGCCCAAAAGTCAACGGCGAGCAGGGGGGAAATGAGGACAAATCCTTTTCCAAAAGCGGCGGGACTTGTCAAATCCCTCGTGCCTTCTAATGGGTTCCGTGCGTCTTCGGGAATAGAACTTCGCAGACGGGCGGGCGACTTCCGAGCCTTCTGAAAAGGACCTTCTCCCTCTCACTTCCATCCCCCCCCTCGACGCCGAAAAAAATGCAACAGAAAACTGGGGTTTAGGGCTCTGGTCGCAATTTTCCGCGATTGATTCTGCAGTGTCGGATTCCATGCGGAACGATGAGGTGACTGGCTCAGGAAAGGGGAAATCGACTTAAAATCAGCGATGCATCGCCGATGAATCGGCGATTGGCCTCCGATAGCGAACCTGCGAGTTCTTTGGCGGGGTGGGCTGTCGGGTCCCTACTGCTCGACCAAAACTACAACAACATCCCTCAAAAGCATGAGACCATATGCGTGCCAAGCTGACAGGACGCCCATGGGTACCCCCCCCCAGGACGCACAAAAACATCCAAGAGGCACGAAGAACATGAGGGCACCCTCCCCGAAACGACCTCGATGTTATACCTCGTTCCGATTGTGCCGGGGATCGGTGGGCGATTGGGGATTGACGCGCCCCCCTTCTGCGCCTGCCCCCCCTCGCGCGGCTCCTGAGGGAACAGCCAAGCAGAACCCCCTCACACCGTACTGCCATGCACTTCTGTATGGCGCATCGCAGCGGCGGCCACGGCGACACGCTGCGCCCTGCAAGCAGATGCCGCGTCGCCGGCTTCGCGAGACGGGAAAATGGGACATGCTCCGGACGTTGACGCTCGGGGGGTGGGACGCGGTGAGCGACTCGCCCCGAAACGTGGCGGGCCAGAACCATATGGACCATAGGCACCACGCGCTATGCGAAAGTTACCGACCGCACCCATTCCCGACCATGCCCCTGATGGAACAGCCGCGCGGATCCCCCCCACATCATAACAACATTTACGCGATTTACGCTATTTATTTACGTTTCTGATGGGTGTATGTTTTTGTCCACCAATTCTCGGAGACCTACTGCCCCGGGTCAATCGAAGCCCAGGTAAGGCGCGCTTTGCCGGGTCCTGCAAGATTTTTGAAAGACCCCGCAGGAATCTGCACGCAAGCCCCGGTCAGTGCAGCCCTGGCTCTGCAGGATCCTGCAACATCCGGCGCTCTGGCGGACCCCCGTTTGCCTTGGGACTCTCGTCTCAAGGCTCCCGAGGTCCCGTCGCCGTTCTTGTTCTGGTCCCGTCGCCATGTGTCTTTTAATTCCGGATATGGTTCCTTCTCCCGGTTCTGTCTTCACGCAGTCGGACCCAGACCAACAGAACATCCATCAAGAATATGAGACCCTCCGTCGGCAAAATACACAGAACTTCCAAGGCCACACTCCCCAGCGTACACACGAACGTCCAAGAAGCACGAAAAACGCTAGGGCACCCTCCCCGAACCTACCTCGATATTATACCTGGGTCCGACTGTAATGCCCTGCCACTTCGTAGGCTCAGGCCCCGCCCGACACCCGCCGATGGTGGCCGAACGACCCCAGGTCCTTGGGTGGCTTGGGCTCGCTCTCGTACACGAAGCGGATGTCCTCTCGGGAAGACGTAGGACTCGGGTTCGGGGAACGGCGGCGGCGCTAGCGTCAGCGGCGGCGGCGGCGGCGTCGCCGTCGTCGTCGCCGTCGTCGTCGTCGTCGTCGTCGTCGTCGTCGTCGTCGCCGTCGTCGTCGTCGGCACCGTCATCGTCGTCGTCGGGGTCGGCACCGTCGTCGTCGTCGGCACCGTCGTCGGCACCGTTGTCGTCGTCGTCGTCGTCGTCGTCGTCGTCGTCGTCGTCGTCGTCTTCGTCGTTGTCTTCGTCGTCGTCGGCGTCGCCGGCACCAACGTCGTCGTCGTCGTCGTCGTCGTCGCCTGACGGGGCCATCGTTAAAATGACGAGACCGAATCTGTACTTTGATGCGACTCCCGCTGCAAACATACCAAGGCAAAAACTGGACCGAAATCCGGGACGCGCCGGCAAGCCCCAGCTCCGGCGTACTCGAGTCTTCTGTACGTTACCCCGATCCTCGAACACGTCGTCGTGGCTGTCGAGGTAGTCCTCGGGCAAAGGCTTCAGGATCGCGGGCAGCAGGTCGACTTTGCTGACACACTTCGACGACGTCGCCACCCGCGTCGTGCGGACGCTCCCCTCGGCAGCTCCCCCCCTTTCCTCCTCCTCCTCCTCCTCCTCCTCCTCCTCCTCTTCCTCCTCCTCCGCCTCGAAACACGCTCGCGTCGTGCAACAACAAACACGACGCGAGATTGCTGCTCTTTCTCGGCAGCTGGGGCGCCCTCGCCAAGCTCGGGGTGCGCCAAAAAATCGCTCGGCATGAGACGCCGGCCCCGGGGCCCGGGGGAAGAGGTCGGGACTCTCCCGGGGATCCCGTACGGAACACGTTCAAGACGTCGCACGTGCGGGCTCGCATCTTCCCCCTCTCCAGGAGGAGGAGGAGGAGGAGGAGGAGGAGGAGGAGGAGGAGGAGGAGGAGGAGGACCCCTCTTCCCTCATTTTGCCCATCTCGTCTCCCCTCGCGCCACCGCTTCCTCACCTTCGTTTGCCTCTCGCCCGCCTCCTCCATATCCTCCTCGTCCCCCACCCCTCCCCTAGCCACTCTGGCTCGAGGCGCCCGGCAACCGCCAGGTTCGCTCGCTCGCGCCGCGCGGCCCCTCCGCTGCAACCGGCCTACGGGGCGGCGGTGCGCAGGGCTGGACTGGACGGAGCCGCTGCTTGCTGAGCGCTCCTCCGTGCCCGGGGGACAGCGCAGAGGCCTGCAGAGAACCCGCGCCAGCAAGCTCCGCGCAGCCTCTGGGTGACGACAGAAAGTCAAGCAGAGCATGGCCCGAGGGCGAAGTGCTCCCCAGACAAGTGGCGACTGCTACAGTCCTCATGTGCGCTGTCACTGGGGTTTAGTCGGGCGTGTCCCCCTACAGGGGGATTTTCGACGAACCCAAAAAAATCCAAAAACCAAAAAGGTCAAAAAATACAATATAAACAAAACAAGACTATTTTTAGACTATTTTGTTGACTATTTTGGGGGTATTTTTTGGGGTATTTTTTTTCGTCGAAAATCCCCCTGTAGGGGGGCTTCGCTGTCGCAGTGCGCGCCAGCTGCCAGGTCGCGCGGGGTGTTCGCCGGGCGGCTCCTCGACGGCCGCGGGGCGCGTTGAGATCAGCTGCAGCGTGCCACGGTTCCTCACAAGAAGCACGGCTGAGGTACACACAAGGCACTGTGTAGGACGAGACGACAACTGCACAGGCCTAAAGCTTCTAGATCTGAGCGGGTATTCATTGGATCCGCGCAGAGCTCCGAGTTTACGCGTAGCTGCTGGCGGAATTCGGAAACCAAGCTGCAGTGCAAGTCGTAGCGCTTCACGCCGATGCTGTCTGCGCGAGCAGAAAACGCGAGGCGTGCAGTCGTGAGTGCAACAGACGTACGGAAACACATCCGATGACAGAGGGGGAAGACGAGAAGGGGGCCGTGCGGGCGATGGCCCACGAGGCCTTGCAGTGGCAGCGCCGTGCCAATCGGGGGGGGAGAGAGAGAGAGAGAGAGAGAGAGAGGTAAACAAAAGCAATGTGCAGTCATCGTGCCGGTGCAACTCGAGACTGCAGCCGCGGCGACTGAGCAGAAGCCAACAGACGCTCACCACGACAAGCCCTTCCCTGCACACGACTTCGGACGGCAAACGGACTGTAAATCGGCAACTACAATGGGTGCGGTTTGCGAAGGGTGCGGTTTGCCTCCCGTCATATCTACCCCTCCCGCCCCCGGGAAACGGATGACACTGTCACACAATGCGACCCTATCACATGACACTGTCGCTCCTTCTAGTACAATAGAACACACATCGGGGATGACAGTGTCGCTCGAAACGACGACAATTATGACATCGTCTCTCACAAAGGCCCCGGAAAAGCCGCCACAAAGAAACTCGCAAACCGCACCCCGGCGTTACCGCACCCATTGAAGTCGCCGAGTAAAGGCGTCACTCGCAGCCGCAGCGCCGGCCTCACCTCTGCGCCGTCGCCCCCGCCTCGGTGCCGCCCGACCGGGCGCCCGACCAGCCGCCTGTCTGCGCTCCAGGGCGCAAGCATCGTGCTGGCATCAGAAGCGCTAACATCCGGCTTAGGACGCCCGGCCCACCACAAGGGTGAAAAATGGAAAGGGCGACGCCTTCTCACACGGCGACAGACCGGGGATGTGTGCAGCCGGACCACTAGGACACAAAAGGTCTGTTCTGGCCACGGCTCCGACTCGGCGACGGAGAGGGCTCCCCGACCCAGACCTGCTCCAGAGCCCCCCCCCCCGATCGGGCCGGAGGGTGCCTCCCGGAGCCCCTGTGGAAGTGGTCCGCGCCTCCGCGCCTCGACGGTGCAGCCACGCCCTCCGCACTCCGAGCTCCGTGGCTCTGGCGCCGGGGGCGCGGAGGCGGGGCGCCACCCCCGGCGGGCGACGGCCCCGCCATGCGGCCCCCGCCGCAGAAACCACCGCGCGCCGGAGGCTCTCCGACAGGCAGCGCGCGCCCTCGGCTCGCCGACGCGAAGGCCGACATCCCGCGGGCCGCTCCCCCCCCGCCGTCGTCCCCCCCCACGCTCGGCAGGGAACGCTGAGCAATCGGAGAGGGGAGCACCGAGCGCGGCAGGTGCGGTGAAAGAAGTGCGAGGTGCGAGGCAGCAGCGGCGATCGTGCTTCTCTCACGGGGGCGAGGGCAGAATGAGGATCCCCAGGCCGATGACGGCAGAGGAAAACCAAAGAGCAGAAGTCAAACGAGCCTGCTCGGAGCGGTGATCTGCTGCTGGGCGCTGCGTGACCAAGCCCGTGCGGCCGCACAGGGCACGGTCCGACACAGTTGGGGCCGGACCCAACATGTGCGGCGAAAGCGGCACATCCTGCAACCTGCAGGATGGGGGCACACTCAAAACATATAGGGCCAGTCTGGCTGAGCATGTGGCTGCAGTAGAAAAAAAAAAAAAGAACACGGCGTAAACATATTTTTTTGGCGCTCCGTACGGATTTCTTGGATCTGCGCTGGGCGCCTGGAGCGCGCCATGGGCGGCGCCGGAGGCGCCGCCAGGGGGGCCCGGCGCGGATCCAAGAAATCCGCGCGGAACGCCGAAAGTTTATGTTTATGGCGTTTGTTTATGTTTCTTCTACTTCTTATTATGCTTATGTACGCTTGTGGCGCTTTTTTACTCGATGCAGGTCCTGCTGCGCGAGGCAGCTCGTGTGTCAGTTTTCCACGAGCAGGGGGGCGAGCCGAGGCAGCATAGGGCGCGAGAGAGCAGGCGGCCCCTCTGCGCATCGGGACTGGGGAGGTGAGATGAGCTGTGAGCGCGCTGACTTTAGACGAGCGCGTTCCACTGCTCGCAAAGTGACTACTCGCAAATGGCAAGGATCCGCCGCAGGGAATACACGATACATTACACACCTGCAGACGTATGTTTTTTTTTTTTTTTTTTTTTTTTTTTTTTTTTTGTTTCGTTTGCGAGTAGGCACTTTGCGAGCAATGGAACGCGCTCGGCGATACTTCGCCAAGGAGACGCGCTGGCTGTGGGACGCCATCTCGGATGCCGGTACATACCGTGGCGATGTGCGAAGTACGGCGCGGGCAGCTGACTGCAGCCATGGTTGGCTACACGGGCGGTCTTGCAAATCCGCCGACCCTGTTGGCGTGTGGAAGGTGCTTTTCCGTACGTCGTGAACGTCGTCGTCGTCGTCGTCGTCGTCGTCGTCGTCGTCGTCGTCGATGCTCTTCCGTTCGTCGTCGTCGTCGTCGTCGTCGTCGTCGTCGCCCTCCCCTCAGGCGCGCCAGCCAAAGCGAAACCAAGGCGAAATCGAGCAACGTCGTAGCTGAGTCGAAGGCGAAGCGAAATTGAGCAACGTCGTAGCTGAGTCGAAAGGAAGCCCCTTCCCTTTGATCCCTTCCCCGCCGGGTGGGGGGGGGTCCACGGGGGGGTCCCGGGGGGGGATCCCGGGAGGGGGTCCCGGGGGGGGGTCCCGGGGGAAGTCCGGGGGGGGGGGGGGTATCTTTGTGTAGGTGGCTTGTGCGTTTTCTGCTTCCTCATTGCCTTTCTCGTTTTCTGTATCTTTACGCACTTCTCTTTCTCATTCATTCATTCATTCATTCTCTCTCTCTCTCTCTCTCTTGCATGCCTCCAGGTCCAAGTGGGTTCGCCTCGCCGTCTATCCAAAGATGCCAGTGATCATGTACTCTGTCATGCGAGCGCGAATGGAACATTTGCGGGATCTGGTCGAAACGTGCTTCGCCAGAGGAGCTTCGCGGGAGCCGAGCGGGAGCGGTCGGAAGAGAGTCGGCGGGCTTCTCGGGCTGAAGACAGCTTGGAATCATTGCAGAAAGCGCGGGCAGAAGCGCCATGGTTTCTAGATTTGGCGCTGCAGGAAAGCAAACATATGCATATCCACGCGTGCGCGTGTAATACATATATATTGTATATATATATATATATATATAATATATATATATATATATCACGTACATTGGCACGCGCGCAGTGGTAATGACAACATCTAAAGCACGCCCGCGGTATACTTTACAACGGTGCTTATGTAGGTTTGGGCTCAAGTCTTATCGGGGTGCCGAGCCCGAGGCGGTCTGGCCTTGTTTCGCCGCCGCGCCAGGTCGGCGCGAGATGGCCGCCAGCTCAGGCGCGCAGTCCTCTTCGGGCGCGCCATTGACGCTGGCCCAGCAGTACGAGCAGGAAGAAGATAGCCCGATCTCCTTCGAGCTGGCGGTGAAGGTGACGGGCGCGCTGGTGTGCGCAACAACCAAGAAGCCCGACCACCACGACGGCCCGCGGCGGGCCATCCAGCCGGTGCACCTGCCGCTCATGGACGAGCTCACTTCGCGCGCAAAGCCAGGCACGCTTCCCGTGACGCACCTCGTCGACCAGTTCTTCCCCGTGACGAAGCGGACGACCAGTTCTTGCGCAGGAGCGCGGGCATCTTGCGGAGCGGGATCGAGGCCAGCCCGTCGTGGGAAAAGGAGAAAGCCAGCTTGGCGAAGAAGTCCGGCACGTGGCTCGACAGGGACCTATTGATGCTACTTGACGGCAACGGGCAATCGAGGTACGCTCTCCGGTTGGACGAGCGCCACTACCACAGGATCAGCGCGCAGTACCTCTGCACCGACGCGTTCCTCGTGAACTTCCTGGCGACGCTCCTGCACCCCGCCACTAAGGGCGCGCGGGAGCGCGTCTTGTCTTCGCTCGGAGAGAAGTCTGATTATACGAGATACTTGCTTCCTGAGTGCCATCGCATCTTCCACACCCTCGCCGAGGGCGTGCTCGCGCACCCGCTCGTTCGCTCGGAAGCACTGTGTTTTACAGCGCTTCCGTGAAAAAATAATAATAACGCTGTGGTTTCCAATCGTTCTATGTGAAATTACATAAAAAAACGTTGTATGTTCTAGTTTGTTCCAGCAAAAAAAAAAACGCAAGGTTTTCCAATCTTTTTATTTTAAAATAAACAAAAACGTTGTGTTTTCAGTGTCTTCTTTTTTTCTTTTAAAAAAATCAATAACTGTCTTTTCCAGTTTTTTAAATTAAGAACTAATAAAAAGGTTGTGTGTTCAATGCTTGTAATTGGAAATCAATGAAAGCGTTGTGTCTTCCAATATTTTTATCCAGAAATCATTTTTTTTTTATATATATATAAAAAAGGTTGTGTTTTCCTATTGCGTAAAGCATTTTTTTTTTAAAAAAAAAAAAAAAAAAAAAAAAAAAAAAAAAAAAGGCTGTGTTGTCTAATTTTTGGAATTCCGAATAAATCAATAAGAACGATGTGTGTTTCAATATTTTCATTCAAAAACTAATAGAAACGCTGTGTTTTCAATGCTATTTAAATTAAAAGTTAATACAAGCACTGTGTTTTCCAATATTGTTATTCAAAAATCAATAAAAACATTATGTGTTCCAGCTGTTTAAAACAAGAACCAATAAAAACGCTGTGTTTTCTAATCTTTTTCGTTTAAAATAAAAGAAACGCTGTGTTTCCCGATTTTTTAATTAAAAATCAATAGAAACATTGTGTTTTCCAGTTTTTTATATAAAATCAATAAAAACGTAGTGTTGGTTCTCGATGTTTTCATGTATAATATTATATATATATATATATATATATATATATATATATATATAGAGAGAGAGAGAGAGAGAGAGAGAGAGAGAGAGAGAGAGAAAAAAAAAAACGCTGTGTTTTCAAGCTTTTTTAATTGAGAATCAATATCCGACGGCGAGCGCGCCGGCGAGCGACCAATGATTTTCGATGTCTCGGGATCCGACGGGGAGCGCGCCGCTGGAAACATAAAAAATCATTGGAACATTGGGATTACAATGATTTTCATTGGAATTCATTGGAATTCATTGGAATCCTTGGAATTACAATGTTTTCCAATCAAAATAAATAAAAAAAAGTTCTTATTGATTTTCAATTAGAAAAGCTTGAAAACACAGCGTTTTTATTAGTTTTGAATGAAAACACAGAAAAAACACAACGTTTTCATTCATTTTTATTTAAAAAAGCTGGGAAACATCATGTTTTTATGTATTCTTAAATTAAAAAATATGAAAACCATAGCGTTTTTATTGACTTCCATTAAAAAAGTTTGAAAACACAGCGTTTTCATTAGTTTTTGAATGAAAACACGGAAAAAACATAACGTTTTTATTAATGTTTATTTAAAAAGGCTGCAAAACACAATGTTTTTATTTATTTTTAAATTAAAAATATGGAAAACATAGCGTTGTTATTGACTTCCATTAAAAAGATTAGAAAACACAGCGTTTTTATTTGTTCTTGCTTTAAACAGCTGGAAAGCACAAGGTTTTTATTGATTTTTGAATAACAATATTGGAAAACATAGTGCTTGCATTGATTATTAATTTAAAAGCATTGAATACACAGCGTTTTTATTAGTTTTTAATAAAAAAAAGCTTGAAAACATAACGTGTTTATTGATTTTCCGATATGAATCCTCTTGATGCGTGATCCGCCATTGTTTTATTGAAACCCAATTGGAATCTAATTAGAATCCAATCAGAAATCCTCTGGATCTGGGATCCGCTTTCTTCCTATTGAAATCCTATTAGAATCTAATTATATTCCAATATAAATCTTCTGGGTGCGTGATCCGTCCCGTTTTGATTGAAATCCAATTAGAATCTAATTGAAATCCAATTGGAAATCCTCTGGATCTGGGATCCGCTCCCTTCCTATTGAAATCCGATTAGAACCCAATTAGATTTCAATCTGAACCCAATTGATACGGAACCGTCGCATTTCTATTGAAATCCAATTGGAATCTCATTAGAATTCAATTCAGAGAGATAGAAAGAGAGAGACAGAGAGAGAGAGACAGAGAGAGAGAGAGGGAGAGAGAGAGAGAGGGAGCGAGAGAGAGAGAGGGACAGTGGAAGGGGGCGATACAGCAGGAAACACACACAAGCCACCTACACAAAGATACCACCCTTACGGGGGGGGGGAGATACGCACCCCCCCCGGGATGTCCCGGTACCTAGAAAAGCTCCCAGACTGGCCAAGAGTGCCCCAATAGAGGCTTCCAAGACGGCTCCAGAGGGCCCCGAATCGCCGAACCATCGGTCGAAGACGCCAAAGTAGCCTCCAGACGGCCCAAGAGATTGCCAAGACGCTCCAAGAAGTCTCCAAGAGCACTCCCAAGAGGGCACGAAGAGGGAAAAATCAATGATTTCCTTCAAGTTTTTGACAGATTCTGGCGTTCTCGCCGTCTCAAAGTGCCGACGCTCCAAGACGGCCCCAGATGCCCCCAAGATTGCCCCAAGATGGCCTCAAGAGAGCCCCAAAATGACCCAAGAAAGCCTCAAGACCGCCCACGATGCCTCCAAGATGGCCCCAGAGGCTCCCCAAACGGCTCCAACAGGGTGCCCAGACGGGGGGCCCGACGAGCCCTCGGCGACAGAGGCTCCCAGGAAGCCCCAAGATGCCCCCAAGAGGCCACCACGAGACCCCCAAGAGGCCCCCAGGAAGCCCCAAGAGGCCCCCCCCGCCACATTAGAGAACGCAGGGGCCGCGCTCCAGGGTCGGCGGCACCGGCCGTAAGGCCTTCGCAATAGCAGTGGCCCTCCTCCTACTCTCCTCTTCCTCCTCCCTTCTTCTACTCCTCCTCGTAATCTCCTCCTCCTCCTCCTCCTCCTCCTCCGCCCCTCCTCCTCCTCCTCCTCCTCCTCGCCGCTGGTTCCTCGTCCTCTCACTTCCCCGTGGCCTCTTCTTGCCTCGCCTCCCGCGGGGTTCGAGCGCGGGGCATGGCCGCGGCCGCCGAGGGGGGCGCGCCCCCCTCCCCCTTCGGCGGGGGCACGCGGCCGCAAGAGGAAGAGGTGGAGGAGAAGGTGGAGGAGCGAGGGAGGGAGGGAGGAGAAGAAGATTAGGAGGAGGGCCACTGCTGGGAGGAGGAGGAGGAGGTTAGGAGGAGGAGTAGGAGATTAGGGATGAGATTAGGAGGAGGAGGAGGAGCAGCAGGGGGAGGAGATTAGGAGGAGGAGGAGGAGGAGATTAGGAGGAGATTAGGTGGAGGGCGAGGGGGGGTCCTTCCACTGTTCAAAAGCGGCACCACACGCAATGCCGAGCACGGCCACGTCTCAAGAGAGGGCACCGACAGGAACAAGCGCCATCCGAAACCCAGGAAGGACAACCCGACCCCAGAAAGTTCGAAGGGACCTGGGAGCCCGACTAAACACCTGGGGGGGGAAGGCGGGAGGAGGGAGAAGAGGGGGAGGAGGCCTGGCAAGAACGAGATCGGGGGCCTGTCCGCACGACGGCACCTCTACAAACTGAACGATCATCAGCTGGCAGTGGCGATAGCAGGCTATGCACACAGCAGTTGCCAGACCACGAAGTCCCAGTTGATAAGGTAACATATTAGCGATGCCTTGTCGAAGAGCCAGCGCCCCAATGTGATTGGCTAGCTGGCACTTCGCCTTGTAAAAACCAAGGGTGTCGATACCACTGAGACGGCAATATGTGAACGATGCTGGAAGGTGCTTGCGGCACTGTGTTATCCAAACCCCTGTCCAGGAGCGAGAAGGAATCATAGCCCAGCTGTTCGGTACTTCCTCAATCCTCGTCGGCGTATGTCTGGGGTTGATTATTTGTGAGGGTATTCGAATGTGTTGTCGCAGCCGAGCTTTGAACAGTTCGTCAGCATGGAAGGACCAGCAACAAAAGACAGCACGACATGGAGAACACGATCGCATTCGCGTAAAGGATATCACCCCGCAATTTCGTGACTAACGCCACAACTCAAATGTGGCGAAAGCCACGGCGACGGACATCCTCGCCACGAACCTTGCGGCACCAACGACGCATGAGATCCCCGACCGATCCGGTGAAAACTGCGACGGTAGAGATCCAGACCCCGTACCTAGCCCATCACGTGGCTCAGAAACGGGCGGTGCCAGCCGCTACGGAACCTGAATCAAACGTGATGCGATGCATACATCGACGCACGGAATCCGGAACAGCCACAGGAGAGAAGACAGCTTGCACTCCCCATTCCGACGATCATCCACGGAATGGCTTGGTCGCGAGGGCCCTTGCCGAAGCAAGACGGCTGTGCCTGGGGAGGCCAGTGGCCATTCGCTCGAGGCGGGGCACGCCAGAAAGTCGGTGCCATCATGCGTATGTCCAAGCAGCCAAACTGTTCAAGAAGCTCATCCGATGTCGCCGAGGCATTGCGGATCACGTGGGGCACGTCACAAACATCAATTCCACCATCGCTACCGCTCCTTGCACTTGTACGTGACACAAGCGAGAGCCATTTTGCTGCTCCAGCCGAAAACTCTCAGCGGAAATCATTATTCGGACATCTCGTAAACCTTGCTACCAAGGGTCACTGCTGTTGTCAATCACAGAACAACTTATCGTAATCAACGCGAGCTTAAGCTACATAAAGGCAACACTGGACGCAGGAGGTCCGTGATAGCTGACCTCAACCGCGCACAGATGGGGCCTGACATTGAGGGCAATGCATCGGTCCACTGCATCGCGATCGTGGCTCCAGCTCCAGCTCCGACTGTGGCTCCACCACGTAAGATGGCAACTAGACAATATGCCCAAGAGTCCGCCACATCACGGAGGAGAGAACGATGCATTAGCTTTTTGAGGAGGGGGTGAGGATTAGGCGGGAAGGGTGGGGGAGGGAAATGAGGAGTGGGAGGAGGGGAAACGAGGATGAGAATGATGGTGGAAGCTGGATGGGGAACAGGGGAGATTGGAACGGATGAGTGGCGAACGAGATCGTTTTCGTCCTCCTACTCCTCCCTCTCCTCTTCCTCTTCCGTCGCGCTCCCGCATCCCCATCGACTCCCTCAGCATCGCCCACTCGCTCCCTCACTCATGGCGGTCGACCGTCGTCGTGCAGCCACCCGTCCTGCCCCTCCACCTCGGCGGTGGGCCCGAGGTGGAGGGCTCGAGGGTGAGGGCCGGGGGGGTCGTTCGGGAGAGGGCGAGAAGACCCTCAGGCATCGCTCCTCGTCCTGGCTCCCCCCCTTCTCGCCCGCCCTCCGCCTGCCCCGTGCCCCCTCCCTGCGACCCAACGCCGGAGCGGCGGGCGCTCCGCATTTGCTTTGCTTTGCTTTGCTTCGATTTGCTGCTCCTGCTGCTTTGCTTCTGCTGCTGCTGCTACCGCTGCCGCTGTTGCTGCTGCCGCTGCCGCTGCCGCTGCCTCGGTCCGCTGCCGCGGCTGCTGCCGCGGCCGCTGCCGCTGCCGCTGCCGCTGCTCGCCGTCCTCGCCCGCGGCCCTCCGACAGGCCCTCCGACAGGCACCGGCAGCGGCGGGAGCGGGCGCCAGCAGGGCGATATCGTGCTCCCAGCGGGCCCCTGCTCGCGAGAGCTCGCGGTCCCCTGGGGCCTCTGCCCTCTGGGCCTGCGGCGCGGGCCCGCGCTGTCCACTGGGCGGCACGGCGCGGGTCCGGGCCACTTCCTCCCGAGGCACGGGGGCACTGACGACTGCAGTGTCGTTCAGACGTACGTAACCATCCCACTTCCTCCTCCCTCCTCCTCCTCCTCCTCCTCCTCCTCCTCCTCCTCCTCCTCCTCCTCCTCCTCCTCCTCCCTCCTCCTCCTCCGTCCTCCTCCTCCTCCTCCTCCTCCTCCTCCTTCTACTGATCCACCCTCCTCCTCTTCCTCCTTCTCCTCTGTCCTCTCCTCCTCCTCTTCCTCCTCCTCATCCTCCTCCTCCTCCTCCTCCTCCTCCTCCTCCTCCTGCTCCTCCTTTCCTCCTCCTCCTCATCCTCCTCCTGTTCCTCCTCCTCCTGATCCCCTTGTGGTCAGCCTGCAGGTTCTTCCGCTGAACGAATCCCCTCATCCTCCTCTTCCTTCTGCTCCTCCTCCTTTCTCCCTCCTCCTTCCCCTCGTACCCTGTCGCAGGCGCCCGCGGCGGTCCCTGGCGTCTTCGCGGTGAACATCGATCCGAGAACCTGCGACCGCGCTCGCGGAGGGTAGGCTCGGGGGATGGCTCCTCCTCGTCGTCGCAGTCCTGGAAGGGGGAGGGGGAGGAGCAGGGGGGATCAGAGACCAGAACATCCACCCTCATAACAAGCACCCCGATAGGCGAAGCTGTTTCGCACACGCACCCAAAGAAGCGATCGAACAGGACGAGGGCTGTGTAGTAAACGCCCAGGGCCGTTTAGGCAACGCCAATGATGGAGGTTGAGTGAAAAGGACGAGGAGGAGAAAGAGAGAGAGAGAGAGAACACATAACATAACAACATACATAAACAAAGAGGGAGGGGAGAGACAAGTAGAAGGCGGAGGAGGAAGATGGTGGGAAGGGAAGAGGAGGAAGAGGAGGGGATGAGGAGCAGAGGGTTGCAATAGAGGTGGCGGCGGAAATTGGTAGAGGCAGTTGTGATGGAGGGAAGAGGACCAGGATAATGATGGGGGAGGAGGAGGAGGAAGAGGAAGAGAAGGACGAGGAAGAGGAGGAGAAGGAGGAAGACGAGGTGGGGCTGAGGAGCGGAAGAAGAGGATGTGGGAGCAGGATGAGGAGGATGGGGGAGAAGGAGAACTGTGGGATCGCGGGTGGGCAGGATGAAGACAAGTGAAGGGAAGGGGGGGAAGATTGAGGAGAGCGATGCGGGGGAGGACGGGGAAGGGGGGGGGTGCTCGTTGTGGTGGCAGGAGGGTGGGAACGATGCGAGGGATGGTGGTATTGTTACTGGTGAAGGATAGGCGCAACGCGCTCATTGTATCGGCATCTGAAAGGGGTGGCGAGTCGATTGGTGTGCAGGGTTCAGGATCGCGATCTTGCCCACATCCTCGAAACATCATGCCTGGTGGGAGAAGCTCCGCGCGCGCTACGCCGCGTGAGTCGGACAGGTGTCGGAGGTGGAGGGGGCGGGACGGGCACAGTCGACACCGATCATAAGGATGGGTACGCAACCCAAGGGTACCCCTGCATCCGTGCCCCTTCGGTCCATCCTTAACCACTTTCGATGGCCAGCCCCTTTCGAAAAGCTTCCACATGCGCGTCCAGGGGGCTGGCATCCTTCATGCGCGTCCTTGCTATCAGTTTCGGCTGTACGTGGGTGAGGTCTGGACGGTCGGGGCGGTATGGAGGCCGCGGATGATAGTGAGGGGGGAGGTAAGGGAGGGGAAAGGGGGAGGAATGGAAACGATGGGAGGTGGGGCGTGGTGAGGGAGGGAGAGATGGATAGGAGGCGGGGAGGTAGCGAGAGGGGGGGGTGGGGAGTGGAGGGGGAGGTGCCTGGGCAGGACGGGAGCAGGGATCGAAGGAGGAATTTGTTTGGGAACTCTTTGG